CAACGTGCCACCTCAACAGACTATCTGTGATCTCCTGCGTAACTCTTACTGTTACTGTTCTTCTAATGTTTATTATGAGTATGAAAGTCAAGCCCCCTTAGGGTTTTTGATTTTTAGTTATGCTACATCGATAGGAAGAATATTTCTTAGTACTTTATTTCTCAGTTACAGTTTTCATGGTATGTACAGTTGAATTGCAGTTAAATTTGTTCAAACTGTTTTGTTTACTTTATTTTAGATGACTTCCAGCAACAAATCGGTTCGTTGGCCGAGGTGTTTCTTCGAAATCAGTTTTCTGAATTGGGGCAATTGTCTCTGCGACAAATAGCCATCAAGCAAGTTTTCGAAACTATTATTGAAGAAGTTGTCAAATGCGCAAACCCTAAAAAGTAAGCGACTGGCGCCAAACGCCTTGTAATGATGCACGTTGTTTCTCTGCTGGATAGCGTTTAGCCTTGAGTTTGAATTCGTTCTCTATCCCTTGAGTTGTTTCGGCAGCTGTTTGGGTTCTCTTCCACCTAATAGCAGTGACTGCTGTACTTTTTCGGAACCGGGTTTACGGCGCGTTTTGCAGCCTTCTTGCTCGTTAGGCGCCTGTAAAGTATACTTTTCCAGGAATGAGCACCTGTCTTGCTAGACGTATTTCGGGTCTTCTCACTTAGCTAGAATAAAATCTGTTCGTCATCAGCCGCCGCTAGTCTTTTTATGAGTTAGTTCGCAAAATCTCCAAACATTTTAGCTTTGATGCTCAGTATGTAAATTAACGCATAAATCTTTTAAGTTCGCCTTGATGACGTATGATGCAAAACCTTTAATCGCAGTTACTTATGGCGGAAAAATCTGTATTTCATGTGGAACTTTGACATTGCATCTAGGTTTTCTAGAGTAGTGATTCTGAGCCGGAGTTCGCTACCTTCAAGAGAATCATTTTTCACGAGTAAGTTGACCACTTGTTGGATGACGCTGCCCTGCATCCACCACCTGTTTGGGTTTACATGTGCCGTAGTGTGAAAACTCCCACGTATCCTCTCAGTGGCTGCCACTTTTTGCGATGTCTTGCTTAACAGACTTGCGAGTCACAATCACTAGTTGTGTTCCTTAATAATAGTTCGAAAATTCTTGGATACTTTGGATGCATTCAGGTGAAATGGGTCGTGTTCTATAGGAGAATTTTATACGGAATTTTTTGTGGTGAATGACGCTGTCTATGTCTTCGTAATTTCAAGGCAAGTTCTTTTAAAAAAAAGCCATTTTGATTATGAGCCTGAGCGGGAGAACCTTGACTTAGCACCAGAGTGCATATTCGTTTGCAAAGTAAGCAGTGTTTCCAACTGCTATAATCGGAATTTGCACCGTGGCACACGAGAATCCCTTGCTTTGGATTCTAACCACTCTTCGGTGCATGGACGCCGATGGTCTATTTGTAGTATCTTGTAAACATACTCATCGTTCTCGGAGTTGATCGTTTGGCACATCTATATTTTTCCTGATTGTCCTGACTCGTTTCTAGGTGCATAGTTTTGGCAGACGCTGCATATTCGCTTCTGCGTTTGGGTTCTGTCAACGAAAGTAGTGGAAACGGATCGTCGACTGACTTTTCTGTGGCAAATGTCGCGTGGGATACTTTTATTTCGTTGTTGCCAACAGAAGATGTTTGGACGCAAAAGCTGCAGTTGTTCAATCAGGAGGTAACGCCGTCGCGTACTCTTTTTCAGTACTTTCTGAATTCTTTTCTAGTTTATGTTGGAGACACTTTCAGCCGTTGATGATGCTTTGCCTGTCATCGGCTGCAATACGATACTTCCCGCCCACAAAGACTATTCAATGATTTATGGGTCATCAGTTTTTGCTATTTCGGTATATTTTTTGGCCCTCATTGACAGAATTTTGAAAAACGTTTCGGATCATATGGAAACTTTGAATTATCATCAGACTGAAACTTTCCTTCATCATTTCGCCAAGTCATATCCTGTAGTCAAAGATAATCTTTCTGCTGTGTTTTGCACTACCAGTCTTTTTATCATGGCCAGCCGTGTTGTTATTCAATTGTACGTTTCTCCTGATATGAGGTATGCGATCAATCATTTTCAAGACAGTTGGCGAAACGTTGTTCCGTACTTTAATTCTGAACTAATCGACTATCTTTTGCGAACGTTGCTGATGAGGATCAAAGTGGGGGATACCGTTGCGATGTTTGGTGTTAGTTTGTTAGCCAAGCTGCGTGCATCCTCTTCCGGTTCAGAATTGACACCTTTTGACATGGCTAGCGATGAACTGGTAGATGTTTCGTCGCTGAACCTTCGCTGGACGCTGAGGTCACTGCCTGAAGTGTCGTTTCCCGAAACTGCTTTGACCGACGA